ATTAAAGAAATATCAAGATGATAAGATAATATAGGCTACCCAAGGAGAGGCACGAACTAGTACCTCTCCCAAACAACAACATTGTATTACATCATACTAGAAAACAAAAATTTACAAAGCTGCCCAAAATAATTGTTCCCTTGAAGCCCCTTGCCTAGCTAACCCATCCGCTATGGTATTAGCTATTCTGCCCACCCATTGTGAAGTAACAATTATAATAATGTCACCTACATATACTACCAACAAAATCTTCCCAACCTCAGAATCATAGCTAAATACTAAGTGGTCAAATTGTCATTGCTTTATACCAAAGTCTTTTACCACTTCACTAAATCTACCAAACCAAGCACGTGGAGATTGTTTCAACCCGTAAATTACCATCCTCCCCCTAAGCAACAAACCATGATGGTTGCTCCATATAAACCTCCTCAAGAAGGTCACCATGTAATAAGCATTCTTAATGTCAAGCTAAAATAGGGGTCAACCATACATAGCTACTGAAATAGGGGTCAGCCATACAGGTGAGAAATAATCTACTTTATACAATTGTGGATAACCTTTAGCAACTAGTCAAGCCTTCAACCTTTCTATCATGCCATTTGGTAAGCATTTAAAAGTGTACACCCACTTACAACCTACAACATGCTTACCAAGAGAGAGAGAGGTAAGCTCCTAGGTGTGATTATGTGAAAGTGCAGATAGTTCCTCTTCCATTGCCTAACGCCATCCTAGAGAGGTAAGAGCATCCTAGACATTTTTAGGAATAGAAACAGAGGATAAAAGGATAATAAACTGACAATGAGAAGCAAATAGGTGAGAAGCAAATAGGTGAGAAACAAAAACATCAAATGGGGATGAAAAGTACAGCTTTGTTTACCTTTATGTAATGTAATGGAAAGATCAAGGTCAAAAGAAGAGAAGCAATTGTTGGATCCGTCAATGGAGAAGGAACTAAAGGAAGAGTTGATGTCTGTCTGCAAATATACAACTGCGTGATTGGTGGTGGGTATCAACTGAAAATGGAAGAAGAAACATAGGAAGTGAAGGAGGAACATTAGGATTAGTGAAGAAAGGAACAGATTCAAAGAAAGTGATATTTGGACAAATAAATGAACGTTGGGAACTGGGATTATACATTTATACCCTTTCTAGGTCCTAGGATAGCCAAGAAAGATGCATTTTGTAGTGCATGCATCCAACTTGTCCATCCCAAGCCCCAAATTATGAACGAAACATACACAACCAAAAAAATCTGAGAATAAGAGGAAGATGAGATAGAGTGGGAAACAAAACTTAGAAAGGAGAATGACCTTCAAGGATAGACATGGGCATTAGATTAATGAGAAAACGTGATGTAAGTACAACATAACTCCAAAATCGTTTGGAAACACTCATTGTGCATGATGGACCAAGCAATTTCAAGTAAATGGTGGTTCTTCCATTCAACCACCCCATTTTGTTGTGGCGTGTATGTATAGAAAGTTTGATGAATGATATTGTGTTATAACAAATATTGCTGAAACAATGTAGAGAAATACTCTTTATCATTATCAGAACAAATGATTTTTATGTGAACACCAAATTGCATGCAAATTTCAGCATGAAACTTTTGATAAATGGAGAATAATTCACTTCTTTCTTTCATAAAATAAAGCCATGTCGCCCTAGAATAATCATCAAAAAATTTACAAAATACTTATAACCATTGTACAACACAATTTTATTTGGACCCCAAACATCTAAATGAACCAAAGAAAAATGACTCAAAATTCAACTATCAGGAGACATGTTTTGTTAAAAATTAACAAAACACAACTCCTGATAGAGACGATAATGTTGATACATGACAAATGCAGCCAACCCCAGATAACCAAGATTTAAGGCTAAATTGGGTTAAGTGTATGATACAAATGCAATTATAAAAAACTCAGACTCACACTTTGGCTTCCCCTTGGAAGTCCATGATTGGGATGCTTCCCTAGTTTCTAAGCCTTATCATGTATGATGTGTGTTCTAAAGATAAAGTCTTTTTCTAGGAGGACCTTTGGATTAGCAACTCAACCTAAGGAACCTCTTTCCTTCCTAGTACTCCCTATCTGTGCTCCAAAAAGAACCCATCCAATGCTTTGTTTCATCTCTTTGTGAATGTTGCAGTTGGAATTTGGGTTTTAAGAGAGATTTAAGAGACCATGAGCTTGATCAAACAACCCCACTTTTACAAATCCTTGATTTTGTCTTTTTGGACCACTCTAAGACAAAAGGTTGTATTTAGATCCTCACCCTAAGGGAGTATTTTCCCGTACCACTTTCTTTTCCACTTTGTGTTCAACCCTTACCCCTCAGCCTTTTCGAAATTTGGTCCAAACCCATCCCTCCCAAGGTTAGTGCCCTATGATGGAAAGCCTTTCATAAGAAACTTAATAACCTAGATGTTTTGCAAAAACGAAGAACTTACCTTTGTATCTCCCCAAGCTAGTGTATTGTTTGTAAAGCAAAGGGAGAAAGTTGTTACCACCTGCTAATCTCCTACCCTTTGTTGTAGATCTTTGGGAAAAGCCTTTTTGGCAACAGGTGGAGTGTGCCCTTGCAGATTGGTAGCCTCATTGACCCTACAACCTTCAGTTGGCTGAAGAGAAGAGGTAAGGTCATGTAGAGACGTGCTATAGCCGCCTTGGTTTGGATAATGTGGGAGGAGAGGAATGATAGAATCTTCAATGATAAGGAAAGAAGAGGTAGTTTGGGAATGCATAGTTAATAGGGATATACATTGGGCCAAATCCTTAGACCTTTTTTCAGACTTCACCTTTGAAGATATACATCGGGCTAAATCTGTAGCAAGAAGTTATACTGTGAAGGATAAACCTGTTGTAGGTTGCTTACCCCATGAAGGTTTCACAAAGTTAAATTTTGATGGTAGCATCCTAGGAACCCCAAGGACGTTTGGTAAAGGAAGAGTTTTCAGGAATACAGAGGGCACATTCTTGCTGTATTCTCAGATCCTGTATGAGTAGGGGATCCAATGCATGCTGAATTTCAAGCAGTACTGCAAGGAGTACAAATTTCTAGAGAATTAAACTATGACAATTTGCTAATTGAAGTTGACTCTAAATTGAAACCAGAAACAATGATCTGGAATAACAAAGAAGCAATGAAAAGGTTTAAATGGTTAACTAGAGAGATAATGGCTGTCAGAGTCCAATAGGAAAAGAGGTCAGATAATGGGATCGCTGATTAGTTTGCTAAGCAAGGGGTGCATAAGTCCCATTTATTTGGGGTTCAGATGTAATTCTGTTTATGTAATGGAGTCTGCACCTCGTGCCTCTATAGGATTGTTATCATTGTAAAATTACTTGATCTTGTCAAAAAACCTCAAACTCGCACTAGAAATAGAAATTAAGGCTGTCCAGAAACTTCAATGAAGCTCCCTATGCAACAGTTAGTGTTGCATGGACACAGACACAAGAATCAGAATCCGACGCATGTCTCAAAGTCTGACTTGGCAAGATGAAAAATAAGGAATCAACAAACATATCTACGGACAAGTATAAAGTATAAATTATTGAGATATTCCATATTTTGTTGAACGCTTTTTTGGAAACAAATAAAAGCATACTTTTGTACTTAATAGCATTTTGTTGGAAAATGACATTCAACATGTACAATAACTGTTCATTTCTATCAAATCAACAACGAGAGAAAGAAAAATATCATGTAGAACTATTACTCAAGGATCAATGAGGTATCAATGTGCGACACATGTCCAACATGGAAACTTCATCCATTTAGGAGAGTCCATGCAACTGTGGAAAACGTTTTTAAAAAAAGGTATATACCCTCAACATGGTATGTTACCCAAAAAACAACCAATTATCAAACTAGTTCCTCATACAAGCTCATCACTCACCAGATAGTTTTTTTTTTTGGTTGATACATCAGCTAGACTATTGGCTAGGAACCAAATGAACAAGGACCTTACTTTGGATATCAAAGATCTAAAATTTGTAATCTAGTAATGTGATACATCAGCTAGATTATTGCCTCTTGCTGAATTCCTACTTCCAACTAGGCCTAACTATGCTAAAATAAGTGCACCATTGCTGCTAATGAAAACTCCCCTATTCCCTGATAATCCTGGGTTTCTTGCAAAACACCCATTGTAGTTTAATTTGGTGAAGCTTTCACTAAGAGGGGCATACACCATTGTCTGAACTGTGTAATGTAAGGATTATGGACCTAACCACTACAACTCATGTTCACAAGATTAAATCCACCATGATCTCTCTGAATATATCCAGTGACTGTATCAGGTGAATTACCCTTATATTTTGCTAGCTCAATAGCTACCTAAATGATATTCTTGTTGCTCTGATTAAGAAACAGGTTATCATACAATTGCACCATTATCACTTTTAGCTTCCACCTTGCACCATATTACCTCATTGAACATGATCACAAACACTAAATAGTGAATACATTTTACTTTGTTCTGGTTAGATATGATTGCCTATAATAGTAACAAAAATTTATCATTTCTTATGGTGCTTTAGTTACACATGCCACAAAGAACAATAGTAGACTAGCACACAAGTAGTGCTTCTTCCAAAGAACCAGAGCAGCAAGATTAGAAAAATAGCAGATAAAGCTTATCTGAAAAGCATTTCCTTTTCTGCTACCTAAAAAAATTGAAGAAACATTAGTGATACTAAAAGAGCTTATTTATTTATAAACCACCACCTTTGACCAGGGATTGGTGAAGCTGAATTTTGATGAATGTACTTCGGGAAATCTAGGTCTTTCTTTATGGATTCATATTTAGGGCCATGTGCATTTCAGCACATCTGTAGTCATATTGAGGATTATCCAACTGGATTACATGACTAAAACAAAGCAGTCAATGTACCTTCTAGAGATATTAAAATGACCAAAAGATAAGAAACTATTAGTAAACAGGAAGTCAGAACATAAGATGAGAGCATAAGTTTTGAGGATGAGATCATAACCTTCAACACATTTACAAGCTTAAGAAGCTGCTCTACAACTTGTTGCAACACCCTCTCAGTCCCAGAAACAACTATGGTAAAGAGAGCTCTATCCTTGTTCAGCCCAACAGCCAAGGACTCAATGTTATAACCACGTCTAGCAAAGACTCCAGCAATCCGATTTATCATTCCGCTTTCATCCCCGACAAACACGGAAATTGTGTGGCGTCTCACCCTGCAATGCAAATAAAAATCCATTCTAATATTATTTTTTTCCAACAAACCTTGTATCTTAATCCTTGTATACTTCGAGAGTACAAAATGGAGTGATTTTTTCTCAAATATGACGAAAACAAAAGCACTCTATAACAGGAAAATAAAATATGGTTTCAGTCTAAACCCGATGAACCAACTATTCTAATCCAAAGAAAATATAAAATACCAACCATAGATATCAATAATAAATTAACATTATAATGGAGAGATCAGAGTTCGAATGTCCTAGAGATGCCCTGGGAAGTAAATTTTAGGAAGAAAAAGAGCGAGAAAGAGAGATAGAATCATAGAAAGAGAAGTAGAGTAAAATGTGAGAAGGAAGCAGCAGGAATCATAAGATTTACTTGGACCGTGCACTGGAAGGAGCAGACTGGCTGACGGGTAATGCACCGATACTGCTCTCGCCGCTTGCAGAGACCTCCAACTTTCTGAGCTCAAAACGCCTGGATTTTGATGTCAAATCGAAAGCCGTTCTTGGGAAATCAAGGGTTCTCGAAAAGCTTCGATTGCAACCAACTTCCGAACATGGTTTCGTGGTGTTGAATCGTACAGGCTGAACAGAAAGAGCCGCCATCGTAGAGAGTGAGCTCGAAAGAGAAGACACTGTTAATACTTTATAGTGTCAGGCTTTCGTTGTGCCATCGTGGATCGAACATATCATAATTATAGGCCAGGTTTAAATGGGCCGACTGGGTGAACATTTCGGGCCCGTTTAGCTGGGCTGCAGAGTGCAGATTCAGCTAAGCTGGTTCGGCAAAACTTTGTGGATCATATCATATATAGATTATAGAGGCTGAAGAGGACAGACTTTGTGGATCATATCATAAGCTTGTTTTTCACTAAAACAAGCTTTATAGTTTGTTTGCGTCATCGAATGAGGCCCCCGCATCGTAAAGCCAAAAGCCGCTGGCTGCTGCAATTCCCCTCGGAGGACTGAGCTGAAACGGGCTCTTAGACTTTAGACACGGACGGAGATTTCTGGTAAAAGTAAAACCGACACGTTTTATTCATGAAACGGACTAAATGCGAAAAAAGCCACTGCCACCCTACGCGCATAGAATAAATTTTTCTCCCGTGACTCCGTGAGAAAGTTGGAAGAGTAACGGATTGGGGAATGAATCACAAATTCAATGGCGTATTGAGTCATACCTCATACGTGGAGTTTTTGATAAATAAAAGCCAAAAACCTAATGAACTCTAAATTTTCAGCAGAAGGAATCATGTGCCATGTGGTCATGTCTTTTGGGATAAATTGCAAAAATCCCCTCAAACCGGGGTGTATTACTTTACCGCCTAAGTTTAGACCGTAGAACGACTCAAAAAGTCTGAAATGGGAAAATCTATCATACGGATAAGATATGGTATGAAAAGAGTTATGACCAATCCAAACCCACCCATGAATTTTGATAAATGATACCTCTGATTGCTAGCACGTTTATGATTCTAATTTATTGATGAATTGTTTTTCCCATATCATATTTTTTCCATATCATAATGGAACCCTTTAACATAATATCCAAATACCTAAGGGCCTGTTTGTCATTATCACAGCCTTTGGAATTGGAATCTGAATAGCCCATTCCTATTATCTGTTTGGTTCAAAGAGGAATGAAAATGGGAATTATAATCAGTAGGAATGGGATTTTATTCCCAAGAAAGGAGGAGGGAATGGCCATTTCTTCAAATGGAAGAATACCATTCCACCAAGAATGGGAATGGGATTCCAATTCTGCCCAACCAAATAATTAGAATTGTAACAGTCCATTCCAATTCCGATTTCTGCCCCTTATTCCTGCGAACCAAACGGGACTTAATTATCTTATATTCGATTTGATTTGTTTATATAATTGGATTGGAATCAGATTTTGCAATTTTCATTCAAATGATAATGGGATCAAAAGGAGATTTAACTCCATTATATATATTTATGCACATGTTCAATATCTTATATTTACATTAATTGTTATATATACCTAAGTTAAAAAGTAATTAATTTTTTATTTAAAAAATGAAGTGAAGCCGGGCTAAATTCAAATCTGATCCAAGTCTTATAGGATATGAATCTGATTCAAGATGTTCAAATCCACTCAATTTTTTAATTTTTCTTGTTGTTAGTTTCAAAAATAAATCAAAACCATATAATTTGAAAATAGATTGTTTTCCAAAACAAAAACACAAAAACCCATTATAGGTTGTGTTATGTTTTTGTTGGGTTATATCCCAGCCAAGTACTTGCCACATAGGTATTGATGCGACAAAAACTTTCGAACGAGCTCAGCCACATCAGCAACTTTAGGTCAGCACCAGGGTAGGTGAGCGTGCCATCTCACGATGACCCTGGATGGATAAACCCCAATTCACCTCGCATCAAAGAGTATGGAGCCCACGAAGATCATAAACCTCGACCTCTTTGGGGGGATGATGCACATGACACAGAGCATAACCTAGTGAACTACAACACATGGTTATATAAAGGCATCTCCCCCCAAGGTATTATCTATCCAATCTCTCTTGCTCTCCAGCCCTCTTGCTCTCCAACTTCCTTTACCTTCCTTGGTCTGGACCAACTCGCCCTGAACAAATTAGCCTGCCCAACCCTTTCTAACAAGATATTGACTTGAGCTCTAGAGTGCCTCTTCCTCAAGGACCTCATCCTTGGGACCTCTGACCACACTTCAGTTGCAAGTTATGCTCGGTGCATCACTTTGTCCTTCCACCTCATCTCGTCTAAGTTGCCAAGATTTATCTATTTCACATCCACCTTAGTTTGGACAGCATCAATTTTTCTATTTTCAAAATTGAAACTAAAAACATGTTCTTAAATTTCTAGTTTCAAAAACATATTTTTATCTAGTTATTTAATACTAGTGGAGGGGGCCCTGTGTTGTAGGGGCAAAACATGATGGTAAGTGGCTTGTCAAAGGTAAATTATTATACAGGAAAAAATTTTGCCAAAGTTTATTGGAAAAAAGATATATTTAAAATAAGTAAAAATTTATGGATAATAAAAATATTTAATTTAATAAAATAAAATAATAAATAAATAATCACAACCATTGGGCAATAAAGTGAAAGAGGGAGAGACGATTTTTGTCATTGTATTTTTGTTTTGTATAGTGGAATAATTGTAAATGGTTAAATTATAATTAATTTAATTTAATAAATAAATAAACTTATAAAATAAATGAGATAAATAGACAATCAAGTGAGAAAGTAAATAAATAAATATATACACAATTATATGTCTTACTTTGCTAGCAATAATAATTTGTTAGATTATTAAATTATTAACTAATTAAATAATTTAGTAAAATAAGTAAATAAATAAATAAAACTTTATGTATTATCAACACAAGATTGGTAAAGGCTATCTCAAATTATCTAATTAATTAATTTAGCATTGTTAATGGGTCGGCCTAAACTACTAGCTATTGAGCCCACGAACAGGCTTAGCCGAGTTCATGGCCTAGCCTGGCCTAAGACTTGGCCTATGGACCAACCCAACTCATGGCACCAACACGGTTCCATGCGGGCTCGAGCTAAAATAAAATTTTAAGATCATCTTTAATTTTTTGTCTATTTTCTAATTTATGTTAAATTTCTTATTATTTTTTATTTTTAAAAAACATGGCTTAGCCTGATTCATGGCCCGACCTGACCTAAGACTTGGTCTGCGGACCAGCCCGACCCATGGCATGGCACGGTCTCGTGCGGGCTTGGGCCAAAACAAAATTTTAAGATCTTCTTTAATTTTTTGTCTATTTTTTAATTTATCTTAAAATTTTCATTATTTTTTTTCAAAATTAAAAAAAAACATGGCTTAGCCTGGTTCATGGCACAACTTGGGTCCACGTGGCCTTAGGCTGTATATTATATACAATAATTATATAATATAATATATATAATTTTATTTTCAACTTTATTATATTGTTTCATTTTATTATTGCATATATAAATGATTGTACATATCAAAATTCATATAAAATAAAATTTTAAGATCTTTTTTAAATTTTATTTATTTTTTAATTTATAAAAAACATGGCTTAGCTTGATTCATGACCAGATAATAATTATATAATATAATAATATATAATTTTATTTTCAATAGTACACATCAAAATTCATATAAAATAAAATTTGAAGATCTTTTTTAAATTTTTGTCTATTTATTTTAATATATGCTAAAATTTTCATTTTTTTCAAAATTTTTTAAAAAAATGGCTTAGCATGGTTCATGCCCTAGCTTGGCCTATGACTTGGCTTGTGGCATGACATGAGCCTACGTGGGATCAGGTTGTATATTATATACAATAATTATATGATATATAATTTTATTTCAAAATTTATTATATTATTTCATTTTATTATTGTATACATCAAAATCATATAAAATAAAATTTTAAGATCATTTTTTTAATTTTATCTATTTTTTTTGTCTATGTTAAATTCTTCATTATTTTTTTCAAAATTAAAAAAATTGGCTTAGCCCAATTTGTGGCCCGACCTAACCTAAGGCTCAACTTGCAATTATATAATATATAATTTTATTTTCAAATATATTATATTATTTCTTTTTATTATTGCATATATAAACAATTGTATACATCAAAATTCATATAAAATAAAATTTTAAGATCTTTTTTAATTTTTATCTATTTTTAATTAATATTAAAATTTTCATTATTTTTTCAAAATTTTAAAAAATATATGGATTAGCCTAGTTTGTGGCCCGACCTGGCCTAGAACTTGGCCTATGGGCCAACCCGGCCCATGGCATGACATAGGCCTGCGTGAGCTTGGGCCAAGGGTTGTGCCGAACCAACCCCTTAAAGTATCACAGGATAGGGAAGCATGGTCAGCACGGCATAACCTAACATGGCTCAATTGTAAATAAAATGAGAGATAAAGACAATTTTTAACAAATATGAAAAAGATAGAAATTTAATAGCATCATTATAAATAGTTAGCAGTAGCACCATTATAAATAATTACATGTTTAGTAACAAATATGAAAGAGGAAAAGGAGAAATGACAAGTTGTGATTTTTTATAGGTAAATTTCTTAAACTATCCTTATGGTTTAGTTAATTGACTAAGTGTAGCCTTGCGGTTTAAAACACTACCCTTACTGTTTTTGACAATCGACTAACTTTATCATTGCCAACATCCATTAGTATTCCATCAATGTGGCATTTAAAATTCTTTTAAAACCCAATATTACCCCCCTCCCTTATCCCCTTCATCTTACCGGCAACCCCTTCTTCCTCACACCTCAGATCTCTTCTCTCTTACCTCTCTCTATTTTTTCTCTCTTGCCTTGTGTAAGTGTAATCCTCAGAGGAGAAAATCTGGATTTTGATGGCTGACAAAGAAATGAGAGGCTGCTGATCGAGATATGGCTAACGAAGAGACCGAATCAGATTTGCAGCGGCAAATTCTATTCCATCAATTATTCCAGCAACAGGAGAGATCCCGGGAAAGCRAAAGCCAAGAAGACCGTCTTCAATAGCTGCGGATTTTGATTCACTTCCTCACAGAGGACGTTAGGTTGTGCCGAGTCAAATCTGCTCTGCTTTTTTCCATTGTAAAAAAGAGATCCCTTACCCCCAAGCATTTGAACTCAGGAGCCAGTGAACTAAAAAGTGGGGGTAAGGGATCTACTCTTCAATAGCAGATTTGCTCTTCAATAACAGCGAACTAAAAAGCTATTGAAGACAGTCAAATCTGCTCTTCAATAGCT